TTATCTTGTACCTCACCTATCCCTCTCCCTTCTATCCTTCCTCTTGTCTAATAATAGTTTCCTTTCTATTTTTTGTCATCATTTTTATATTTCACATATTAGAGAGAACATGCAATATTTCTCCTCTGAGTCTGGCTTTTTTTTTTAACCAAGCATAATTGCCTCCAGATTTATCCATTTTTTTGCAAATGATAAAATTGTGTTCTTTTTATGGCTGAATAAAACTCCACTGTGTATATATACTACATTGTCTTTATCCATTCATCTGCCAATGGACAGTTGGCCTGGTCTCTCAGTAGTTTTATGAGATAGGAACTTTATTACCCTTGCATTGCAGACAAAGAATTAGGACTTGGAGACTTTAGTGAACTTGGATGAAGTCACATATATCACTTTATAGTTCCACTATTCTGGTGTTCTGAACACCAATGCATAAGGCAAGACTGAGGAGGAGCAAAGGGAATTACAGAGAAAGAGAGAGAGAGAGAGAGAGAGAGAGAGAGAGAGAGACAGACAGACAGACAGACAGACAGACAGACAGACAGACAATGGGCCGGAACCCCTGGGCAGATGCAGGAGTGCAGGTACATCTGAAGAACTGCAAGACATCCTTTGCAGCAGGCCTACACCTAGGGCTGCTACGACAGGTACAGGGTCCTTGGTGGTGAGGCTGGGAAGGATCCCTGATTCCTTCATGTCTTTCTCTTTTTCCTTTTAGTATGATGGAACAGGGGCATCTGAAAAGCTTGGACTCTAGGGGACCACAGTATCTTTCCAATTTGAGTCCCTTCTATGGAGAAGCTTCTGGAGTACACAGGTGGAAAATATCAAAATTGTTTTTACAGAGTAAGTATGAAACTGTTATTGAGTGCTTTTTCTAAGCCAGACACACTTTCAAGCACTTCACGTATACTGTCATTCTACATCTCCTCAATACTCTTTAGATACAGGTTCTACAATTATTCTATTTTCTAGATAAAGAAATTGAATGCTATTGAAAATCGTTTGCAGTAATATAGTCAGTCACTGGCAGGGCCATCAATGCCAAATATATGCAGGCCTCAACACTGCCAATGGTCATTATCAATGTCCTGTTCATGTGTCAGAGCCTCACAGTCCACTGCTCCTTAGCAAGATACAGTGAGACTCTGGGTTGATCTTCTCCTGGCACAGCTTGTGCTGGCCGTTAGGACAGGTGGTTGTGCATCTCCGTGTGCCCAGAAAGAAAAGACGAGAGTACGAGGCACCCAGGACTGTTGATTCCCTTTCATCGTGTGCAACAGTGGAGATGAACTATCTATATTTAAGGGAGTCTTTAAGAGGTAAGCTGCCACCGTCCGTTAGCTTTGTGGTTTTCATTTCTTTCCAGTGCACAATTGGCCTTGTGAAGACACCGAAGAGCAACGACCTGGGCTCTGAGCATCCTCCACGACAGTTATACACATCTCTAAGTCATAACTTCATGAAAACCCGTGGCACATTTCTAGAGTTAGAGCTTGATTGCAAACAAAGTTCTAATTATAGTGATGACTTAAATAAGGTCAAACCACAGCCTAGTTTTTAACTTTGTAAAACATAGATGTCCCTGGGGAATTCAAAGTGCTCAAGTGCCAAGCTGAGCTTGTAGCAATTTCCATTCCTACTGCTGCTTTTATCTTCCATGTCTGCCTCATTGCCACCAGTGGTAATGTGTTCCCTACTTCCCAAGGAGAAACTGCAAGTCTTTCTTCCTTACCATTGCAACTCTGTTGATTCCTCTTCTTCTCATCCAGTGCTTCATGCCCACTACCTGCTCCCCAAGCCAGCATCTCTACAGGTTATTTAGTGCACTGTCTGGGTCTGGCCTTGACCTCTAACTTCTGTGTTCTGTGCTGTTGCCATGTCAGGACTCTCATACTGAAATCTGAATATGTTTCTTTGCCTAAAAGCTCTGCAATGTACAGTGCCTGAAGGTATTGAGAGATAGGGTCTCCGTCCACACTTCCTGTTCCTTCTCTTGTAATAAGGGCACTAATCCCATTCATAAGGGCTTCATTCTCAGGATCTCTTAGTCTCCCAGAAGGTACACCTCATTACAGTGGGGGTTAAGATTTCGATAAGAGTTTAGGGGGAATACATGAACATTTAGTACCTAACATTCCCCTACCCAAGATCCATCCCAGTGTAATGCAATACATAAATCTCTGCAAACTGTCTCATGCTATTAAAATAATTCTTTTGAAAATTTCTATAAAAATTGGGTCATATAGCTTGGATCATATATATGAAAAGTTGATGCAGATATTTCATTATTTTCTAATAGAAGCATGCAAGTTTATTTTTTGCCTCCTCCATGTTATAGTTTGAATTGTGTCCTCCTCAAAGATATGTTGAAATCCTAACCCCCAGCATCAATGAATGTGACTTTATTTGGAAATAAAGTCTTTGCACTTAAAAGCAGTTCAGTTTAGGGCAATAGTGTGAGCCCAAATTTACAATGACTTGTGTCCTTACAGGAAAGATAACATGTCATGGGACAATGCAGATCTTGTAACATTCATAAAAGAGATGAGAGTGACACAGATATTGCATCAACAATTGTCAGCAGCCACCTGGAGCTGGGGAAGGTTAAGGAAGGACTGTACTCTGCAGAGTTCAGGGGCAGCCTGTCTCAGCCCCCACCTTGATTTTGGACTTCTAACTTCCAGAACTATGAGACAGTGCATTTCTAAGGTTACTCAGTATATTATAGCTTGAGAAAATGAATGCATACAACTCTATTTAGTTGTATGTTCCCTACAGACAAGGAAGGGGGATATTTTAGTAATAGAACAGCACATCCTAGAAAAATGTCCAGGAAATATTTATTAACATTGTTGAATAGGTAGATAGCAGGGGGCAAGAGGGTTTAGGATGTCAGAAGGATACAAAGTCATCTCTGCTTCCCAAGCAAGAGGGCCACTATATTCTCTCCTTGGGGGTCTCATTTGGCCAGCAGGATTCTGTGCATCTGTCATTTAACTTCCCTCTTCATGGGCATTTAAAGCAAAAGTGAGGGCAGAGCATATATCGCAATTGTTAGAAGTTTTCAGTAGAGGGTGATATTTTGGGTCGTCTTGATTTTTTTGCTTTAGTTGGAAAGGAACATGTATTCCTTCCATAATGAAAGGTATTTTTTTTTTTAAAAAAGCAAATGTCTTGTGGACTTCATATTAAACGACAACACATATTTATTACTGATTGATTAAATCTGTCAGCATTTTGATCCACAGCAAACACAAATTGGGTTTTTGTAAAGCTCTTTGGGCCCTCTCACAAAGCAGGCTTTTTAGCCAATGTTTTGAATATATCAGGTTAAGGTATGTGAAATAGTCTTTCCAAATGGGATTTAATATAATGCAGTAAGAACTGAAGATTTAACAGAGGATTTTGTTCCTAAGTGTAGGAAGAATCAGGTCATTGTTTATCATTCTTTATATGAAGCATTTAATTATCATTATTGGCTAGACAGGTAAAACAGATGTTCCCTGCAGACATCAGTGCCCCGCACGGAGCTTCAGAACTCTGCAGCAGCAAGCCTTGAAGGCGGAATGCAGTGCAGATAGTGCACGTCTGGAAGGGGTGGTTTGGCAGCTCGCCCTGCTTTCTCTCACTGCCTTTCTTCTTCCCAGGGGCCCTGAGTCTTTTTTCTTGGCTAAAGTGCTGTCGAAAGGACAGTTGCTGGAATGAGTTATTCAGTGGGGGGAAAAAGTGTGAATTCAAGCATTTCAGAGTTTGACTCCTACTTTACAAGAACAGGGAGAAAATTCATGAAGAAAACGAGCCAATTACAGAACAAGAGTTTGAAGGATGTGGATACAGGAAAAGCAGTTGGTCCTACAAAGTGCCATTAAAGGATTTTATGTTGACAGGCAGAACTTCAGTCTTCTTTCTACTGTTCATGTTGCCCATGACACAGAATATATAGCACACCAGGCACACAAATGTAGTACAATCTGTTGTTCATTTGTTAATCAGACTTCCCATCTGCTGACCTTTACCTACAATGCAAATTGTTTTACAGATAATATAATTTGTCTTAGGTGGAAGATGGTGGTGTCACATAAAGACTTGGGCCAAAGATGACAACTCTTCTGTTTTTTTGCTTTGGGTGGAAACATGTGGGGCTTGGCAGATAACTCACTTCTCCCAATGATTTTTGCCTTAACTATGGATTATTTGCTTGTGCTTTCAGACCATGAATTCAATAAAGTTCTCTGACCTTGGGTTTGCCACTTACTTTTCCCATTGATAGTAGTTTCAAAAACCATAGTACCGTACAGTGAATATTTTAGAACCCAGTAAGGGTGCTATTAGAGTAGATTGCATATAATGCCTACCACACTGTCAGTGAAGCATGCTATACAAGAAAAGTTTGCTTTGGGGACACAAAGCAAGGTATCTTCAATTGATAATATTCAGGAGTTCGAATCCAGTCATAGCTCATTGATGGACTAACCAGCTGGCTCTGGCTATGTCTCCTCTAGAAACTTAGTTCTAGAAATTACTACACATAATTACCTAGAGCAATCTTTAAATTCACAATGCCCATAGTTTATTTCCCATATCAAATTAAATAAGAATCACTGGGAGTGGAAAGTGGACATTGCTTTTATAAAAACCTCTCCAAGTGAGTCCAATAAGCGAGCTTGAGAACCACTCATTACTATAGAGCAAAACTATCTATGAATAGCCTTTAATTTCATGTGGTAATTTAAATATAATTGAATATCATCTAAAATCAGTTCCCAACATCCTGGACTGCATAGTGAGTTCAAGGCCAGCCTGAACCACGTAGCAAGACCCTACCTCAGCAAACACACACCCCCTAAAAATGAGTTCCTCAGTTGGAATAATCAAATTTCAAGTGTTTAGTAGACACTTGTGGCTAGTTGCTATCATATTGAATTGTGTAATGTTAAGGAATATTTACCATCATTGCAGAAACTTCCATTGGATTTAGTAGAGTCTGGAATTCTATCTAGACTTATACAACTAGTTCAAATCTGCATGTTTTCCTTGTGCAAAGACCATGTTAATCTTCCTTGCATTGTTCCAATTTTAGTATATTTTCTGCCAAAGCTAGCACTAAAACTTTAAACTGAATGGATAATAAATGACCACACTGCCAATAAAAATTTTGAGTAAATATTCTTGCCATAGAGTTATTATTATTATTATTTTTTTAATCTAGACACTTATCTCTGAAGGGGTCATGTTACAACTAGAAGGCTAATTAGAATCATTTAAAGTTTTCTGGCCTAAGTTACCCCTTTCTATGTTAAAGAATCTGTTGTGTAGTTTGAAATAGTAATATGCTTTCTTGAGCCCACGCCATTGAGCCCACTAAAAGAAACAGTCCCTGCAGAATGTGCTGGTAAATTACTGGGCTCAGAGTCTTTAAACTTTATTTCTCCAGATCTTGTTAGGATTTTAGTTTGGAAGTAAAGCACCTTTAAAAATCTCCACTCTCTGTCCTAAGTCCTTACCACTGTAGGAAGCAAGACTAGACAGGCCTCCTTTATCCCAACTCTGCAGATTAGTCTGAATCAACTCATCACTGAGAAACAGAAGTCAAGAAATAGATTTGCTTTATTTTAAACAAATTATTTTGTTAGTATTATGTTTTATGTATTTGATATAGGGTCTGACTACGCAGTTCAGAATCATAGTGATCCTCTTGTTTTCAGCCTCCCCAGTGCTGGGATTACAGGCTTATGCCACCATGCCTAGTCTCAGTGGCTGACTCAGTGTGCTTAGGGGGTGGTCTGGTGTGGCATGTGGTGCTGGGGATCGAGCTCTGGTCCCTGTGCTTGACTAACCAGGTACTTAGTCTGCTGAACTATCTTTCTGGCTCTCATAATTCCTTTTGAAATTAGTGATACAAATTATTAAATGCCATCTTTCTGGGCCAAGGATGATTTAGCTTAGATGCACAATGCCTGCCTGGCAAGAGAAAGGTCCTGAGTTCAATTCCTGGTACACACATGGACACACACACACACACACACACACACACACACACACACCATCTTTCTTTGGAAAAATCAGATGTTTAAGTTAGGACTTTCAATAAGTTGCTGGACTTTGCCATAATGTATTCATTTAAGAGTTTGATTCTAAAATGCCCCCACAGCATGATTATAAAATGAGCCATCTCAGGAAGAAAACACAAATGTCGATACTGTGGCTTACTTAGAAATAGCACAGCCCTTTTCATTGGTAAATGGATGCAACTAGAGATCAGACTTTTAAGTGAAATAAATCAGACCCACATGTGCAAACATCATATTGTTTTCTTAGTGTAAGAACCTGAAAGAGAAAATAAAATCTGACAGGCAAAATAGATGCTGGAAAAAAGGAATGAACCTGTTCAAAAGGAAGGAATTACAGAGTTGAGGTGGACAGGAGAGTTATTGAGGGAAATAGATATACCTATGCATATAAGCAGGATGGATTGGACAACGGTACTGTGGAGTTCTGATGGTCTATGGAAAGGAACAGTTAAATGCTTAATTTGCTTTGTCTCCCTTTTTCAATTGTTTTTCCTTTTTGTCTTATTCATTTCTTATATATTTCTTTCTTTTTTATTTCTTCTTCCAATTTTACATGCATATATCTAGTAATATGAACAACTAGCTAGAAGACAACACTACGCATTACAACAAATGCTGTGAAATTCATATTATTTTGTCAAGTGAAATTCTGTATCACTTGTAAGTTTTACATTTTAATACTACTTTGTACTCTCTAAATAAATAAATAAATAAATAAATAAATAACATAGCCTTGATAATTTAGACCCATTTGAACTCACAGAAGTAGATATGCTTCCCGAAACATTTTTTTAGGGTATAGTTGGTGAAGAGTAACAGAGAAAGGATGCTGACCTGTTTGCTCTTTATTTAAGATGGATTCACAAATGTTTTATTCATTATAGACCTTAATATTGAGTTTCATGATTCCCAAGGTTTCCAAATCAATGCCTTTATATAAATGAACATTTGGCCAGCCAACTAATATGACCAACAGTGGAGACACTGGTACTGGTTTTGATAAAATATCAACAAGGAAACAATTTATAAAATATTCAATAGCCCATTATCTGGAAAACAAGTGAAGCAAGAACTTAGTTTTGCCAAAGATGAAACTAAGAATTAATGGGTGGTCCTTCAAGAAGATCTTATTTTAATATTCTTTACCCAAGCTACTTTGTTGTGATTTTCTGTATCCTGCATTAAACACAGGCATGCATGTACACACACACACACACACACACACACACACACACACACACACACAGACTCATGCCCATGCACATGTGTACATGTGCTCCTTATAGTAAGTTCTTTAGAGCTTTGAAAGGGGCCATAGTGCCATTTATTTTTTAACTGAAATTATCCTGGACAATTCTGAAACTTCTTGAATATTTAAGTATTCATATATTCCCTCTTCAATATTCACTATTAATTGCTGTGGCAGATGAAAGATAAGACATGGTTCTTTGCTCTTTAGGAGTAAATAATACACTCCATGTGCCTAAGGAGAGTCACATGGAGAGAAAATATTCTCTCAGGCTTTCACAGGGAGCACATTGGCCAAGCAATGGCCGTGACTCATCCACATGGCTGACACTGACAAAGGTTCTACAATCTGAGGTACAAGATCTCACGATAAATCCTGAGGGAATTTCACTGACCTTATCAGACCCAAAAGCTACAACTCCTGTTGCATAGGTCCTGCTTTACCTTGATCTTAACCACCCAGCAGAAAAGTATAAAAATGAAATGTAAGATGTAAAGCCATGCTGTTATGTTGAGCTGTAGGGGACTCAGGTCAACAATTTCTGACATTGCCAGTCAAGCGGAAGACCCAATACTATTATGGGCTACTGGACTCTCTTAGAACATTTTGCTGAGTTTACACACCTATAATATTCAAATAACGGAACTTAACAAAAAAAGGGTATACAGATGAATGTCCATTTTGTATCTGTGTATTCAAAGTGGTTAGGATAGATATATAGTTACATTCTCTTAATGAATAGAGGGATTTGTTCTAATGGTGTTTGTAAATAGGATATCATGTCTGCATCTTGTACAGCAATTAACCACTAGGAAGAATGTATGCAATGTGTGAATTATTGAAACTGTCCTACCAATTTGATTTGAAACTGTCTCATTGCCATTTGTTTATCAATAAAATTATGGGAATAAAATAAAAATAAAAATAAAAGTAGAAAGCTCAATAAAAAAGGAGTAAATAATATACTCCATAAGGACACATAAAGAGAAATCTATATAACTATAATCTCTATCTCTATCTGTATCTATATCATCTAAGTCTTCACTTTATTAAAAATATTTGAAATGAAATTTTGAGATTTGAAAAAAGGAAAAATTTGCAAGTGTACCATCTTTAGAGGCAGCTTCTTGAGTCTAAGCCATACCATTTCTTTCTTGATTTTAGGAGGTGACAATTTCTACTCTCAACTTCATCCCCCAAATTTCACTGCTAAATCCCAGACAACTCACAGTTGATGCCTGCAAAGCTCGCTAAGCCATCTCAGTGGCAGCGAGCAATGCTGGCTAGGATTGGCAGCAGGCTCCCCTTCATGGCTGCCTTCTCGACACGTGGGCTGGAATCAGATGGGTCTTGTTGTCTAGTCTCAGGATTATCTAATTGATCTCTGCACTGCTCTGTGTGATTGTGGGAGCATCCTGATGAACCCACAAAAGGAAAGTTGAAGAGATTTGTGGTAGTTGTTCTCACACACCTGTGTCTCGATGTGACTCAGTCTTTTAAAATTCCTCCAATAATATTATTATTTTTCTAAGTGTCTGAAAGGTAGTGTCTGTGTTTGCCAAAGATAGTTTATATCTGAAAACAAGTTCATCAACATGTCTTTTTCAAAAAAAGCAACCGACAGCAGCAATAAAATAGTCTAAACCCAAGTTAGGCCCTGTTTCCTGTTTCTCCCACGATCACTAGAGGAGGAGTGACAGAATAAAGTGCATTGGGAAGCCGAATCGGATTGATTGGAGCTGGCCAAAAAAGCGATTCTGAGGCATAACAACACAGGAGCAAGGAGTGCTGTGATCAATTACTGATTTTTGCAGTAGGCAAGAGGGGAAGATGTGGCTGTGTGCTTTAGAGATAGCTCCAATCTCCAGAGCAGAGAGTTAAACACGTAGAGGGCACAGTGGAAGATAGGGAGACATAGAACCACTGGGCCCATGTTGAAAGAGACCTTAAGAAGGCTGTCCGTGATAACGTATGCAGGAGAGAGTCTGGAAGTCTTGGACAAGAGACAAATTTGATGCGACTGAACTTTGGGAATGCAAATTGTCTGTATGCATAGGGTAAACTGAACCAGGAGAGGGTAACATTGGGGAAAAAAAAAAAAAAAAAAGAGAGACAGGGACAGGGGAGGGGTGGAAGCATCAAATCTGTCTAGAAGCCAACGGAAATCTACAGATTCTGATTTTGATTGACTGAAAGGCTGTTTCAATTTGTGAAGAGGATTGGTATTAATTTATAGAAAGTTTTATTTTTACTTTTGTCAGTTATTACGTAAAATGATTATCATATCATAGACATTAAAATGCTTAATAAAACAGATAGCACATAAACTAATGAAGGGGAGGAAGAGGAGTGAGAGGAGGAGGAGGCCATGGGTGTAAAGTGCAGTAAACTGAACGTGACTGCATGACGTTACTTGTGATACAGATTAACTCAGGCTTCATGACTCCCTCATACTTGGCAGAGTCCTACCTGACACAGATGCTGGAGCTCATCAGGTGGTTGCCAAATCTAGCCACAGAGCTAGTGTTCAAGTGAAGACTCCCTTTCTCTGAACTTTATTTCTGTCTCCTTTCTCCATGCTGCCTCTCATCACCAAGTGATGCATACTAGCAAATGCTCATCCCATGCTGCTATTTCATGTGAAATGCTAGTGCTTAGAGGACGTTTTCTCACTTCCTGGATTTTTCTATACTTCTTTTAGACTGTGTTATTCAGTTTTTCATTGCTACACCGAATGCTCGTGACAATCAACTTATAAAGAAAAAAGATTTATTTTAGTT